GACTTCACTATGACCATCAGTTCAGTTCAGGCTGAAGATGCTGCAGTTTATTACTGTATGGGTGAATTCTACAACAGTGGCATATATTCATTCACACAGTGAAAAACAGTCATACAAAAACCTCCGTCATTCAGATTGAAACTACAGCTGGAAGTTTCAGTAGACAATGACACAGTTCACTGAAGAAAAGCACACCTACTACAACCGGCCTTTTGGCCTGAACACGTGCAAATATAATGCACATGCTGGTTTATTTTCATGTTAACCTGCAGCAATTAGCAATGTTTCTTTTTTCTTTTTGTTGCAGGTAAACTATGGCATACAGAAAGTTAAAATTAAGCTTCAAAAGGTAGAAGCTTTTTTAAAAGGCTCCATTATGAGTAGGAGTCACTCACTCTGCTCCACTGGCTGAACATGGATCTAAAGTTTAAACTGAGGTTACTTAAATAAGTGCTTATATGAAGTGGTGGGAGGGCTGTGGCAACAGAGCTGAAGTTTAGGGATCATGATTCTTATAACTTCTCAAAGAAAGCCAACCTTCAGCTTGTTGTTACTTTGATGCTTTCGAGTCTCTTCTCTAATGGAAGAACAATGAAAGATCATTATCCTGGATGGGTACATTCACCAAATAATGTAGCTGACTCTGCTGCTTCATCAGATGGGCGGCAGTTTGCATTGCTGTTCAGCCAACACTCTTCAGATTCCTCTTAGCCACATCCAAGGAATTCCCATACCAGTAAGTGGTAATGGGGCAGGTCAGTATGTTCTCCAAAACACACCTGTAAAAAGTTGTGGTTATTGCTGGTGCAACACCAGCCTGCTTTAGGCATCATAGGAGGTAGAGGCATCAGTGGACCTTCTACTTCATGACACTGGAGATCTGGACCCAAATGTTTTATTGCTGTAAATCACCAAATAACTGATTCTCCCATGATGAAGTGGGAGCAGTAGATATGATCTCCTATCATGAAGGCCATGATCATCTGCTTTGTTTTCTTCACATGCATGCAGAGATTGCTTTTCTTGTTTTTCTCTTTTCTTGTTTCGCTCCTCTATTTGACTCTACATAAAGATATGGCTGTATGCAACAATTAGAAAAAAATGCCAATTAGCTTTGATGTTAAAAATTATGTGATTTACAAAAGATTAAAACATTTGTTTGATACACACTTAATAAATCAATTAATTGAAAAAAGGCACATGGCTTCTATTTGCATGTGACAAAAACATTCTTAGAAATTAAATTGTGACACTGTTTTATTATAATATGGGCAAGTTTTGTATTATTCAAAAAGCAAGATTTTTTAATTCAACTAAAGAATCAAACTAATTCATTGTAATCCTGTCATTTCAAACATACTAGGTCCACCCATCCATCTTCTTCTGTTTAATCATCAGAACCTTGTTTCTGAGCTGAAAAAAATGTCCTTATGAATTCAGCTTAAGAGTAACATTTTGTTTACAAAATGAAAATTATTACATATTAAATCCAAATATATAAAATTATTTACACCCACTGTCTAAATTATGTGTGCTGACACAAATATAAGCCACGTCATGAACAGCATATGATGGTAGCCTCCAACTCTCCCATTTAGCAGTCTTCATAAATCCAAAGTGAGTCCTTCCAAAATTTGCGATGGATATACTTTCTTCAATACACACAATACTCAGTGCTATGGTTTCTGTTATAGAGTTTGCACATGCAATTTTACGAATGAAGTCGTCTGACATAAATCTGTAATACAAAGAAGCACGTCAATGTGACAAATCTGTGAACGTTATCTTCTATATCAGGCATCCCAAAACTCGGTCCTCAAGGCCCCCTGTCCTGCAGGTTTTAGAGGTTTCCTTGCTCCAGCACAGCTGATTTTAATTAAAAGCTGATTAACAGGCTTTTGGTTTACTGCAATCATTATAACCAGCTGTGCTGAAGCAGAGAAACCTCTAAAACCTGAAGGACAGGGAGCCTTGAGGACCGAGTTTCAGGATACCTCTTCTATAAAATACATATTTACAAAGGCGAAGCTGTAGCAAGAAAGAAACAAAACTATATAGCACAGAAAGAAAGAAAAGAAAATAAGGCTCTGACCTAACATGAAGAAGATCACACATTCATACCACTGATGGACATCAGAACCAAGACTGAAAATATTGGTTAATAGAGTTTATGACAGATTAAAAGCTTAAATCTGTGGAACAATAAGAATGAGAGACCATTAGCACATATTTACGAAGCTGTTTAAAGTCTACACTCCATTTTCCTCTATGTATATAAATGTATTAAATCAAGACATTCATAGCTTCAAATTATTCTGACATGACAATTCAGGAAAAATGAAACAATGACATAAATATTTTAAAGGTTATATCTTCGTCCAGAGAAAGAAATTCAACTAAATTCTCATGTTAATGTTAATTAAATTAAGAGAATACAAAGTTACAGAGTGAATGAGTAGATGAAGTGTCTTATGTTACATCCCTTTAGGATGAACATCAGTCTTGCCTTGTCAGTTTCTATTTTTAATCAGCTTTATGTTTACTTAAAGTAATAAAGAAAAACACAATTTTTTGATCAATCATTCTGTGCTGATGATTATGTTTCTGATCTACATAGATTACTCCCTTACTGTTTAGAGATGGAATATATGGATGAAACAAAAAAAAACAAAAGTAAGACCATGATGTTTTTATTTCATTGATTTTGCAAAGCAGAAATCAGTATCAAATGAAGAGTGGATCTCAAACCTTGTTTAAATCACACAATCATCCAAAATCCTTTCAGAAAGTCTTTATTGAAAGTATTCTATGAAACATTCTGCTAAAAGAATTCTGCTTAAAATAATTAAATCAAATCAGAACATATTTTGAAACACTCAACTTTGCAGCAAGGTATTTGATATTAAGGAAAGTTATGAGTAAATCTTAAAGAACAGATAAGAAAATGACAGTTTAAGAACAAAAACAAGAACAATTCAAACTCAGTACTGGGAACACTGGTCTCTCCTCAGTGTCTCTGTGACTGCAGTCTGGGAGCCCTGGGTGGCCTCACAGGTCACAGAGCCCAACTTCCTCCACTGGTGTGCAGGGAGCCTCAAGGTTTTGCTCCAACTGTAGAGGCCGTCCTTCTGCAGCACTACTTGGCTCTTTTCCTCCTCCCAGGTGAAGGTGTTAATGTGGCCCTCCAGCTTCCAGGACAGACTCCAGTCTGAGGGGAAGCCCTTGTTGGCCAAACACACGAGGGTGGCCTTCCCCTGCTGCAGATCCTCACTGGAGGGGGGCAGCACTGTCACGGTGGGACGGGTATTACCTGGGAGACACCAATCGGGTTAGAGAACGGAAAGTATTCAGNTTTGAATGTCAGCAGACAGCAAGAAGCCTCCCAGATCTCCAGATGCATTTGAGATATCAAAAAAGTACTCCAGAGTGTTGTTCAGCTTGGGGGTGAGTAGAAAATGAAGGCTAATCATGTTTTGGGTGTACTATTCCTTTAAAATGAGGGAGAACAGTCTTCAAATATGCCTTAAACATATACATCAGTGATGCTAACAATGGCAAACTATCTAGGCAGATAGAAATTTGATACAGTTAAAAGTCAAAAGCTTGATACACATAGAGCAGAAGCTGGCAGCTGATCTAGCAATCCAGAGGCAGAAATGCAGGCATCAGGCAGACACGATCTGGATACAGTACTTGATGAGAAGGTTGGTGTTAGGAAACACCGTTAGGAAATCCAAGGAATCAAGAACTGGACAGGATGGGACTAAACTTAACTCTGAGACAGCACTAAGGCTTTTTACCACTTGGAGAGCATTGACCGTCTGTCGTCTCAGGGAACCTTAACTCTGCAGAGGTCCTTAACCAGTACCAGCTGGATAAAATCAGCCTGGAAATTAAGCACCACGGCTACACACACTCACTCACAGCAGTACAGAACCTAACAGCTGTAACCCTCCCAAACTTTGAACCCTGTCTGTTTCAACACCCATGGCTCCTTTGACGTAATACAGTACATACTTTATTTTTTTTTTATTTCATGTGTCTGTTCCTTGTTTGTTCTGCTTGTTGTTCAGAAATTTTCTTGAAACCATGCCTATCAAAGAAACAAAGTTTATAAAAACCTAATAGCAATTTTACAGAAGGCAAAAATTGAGCATCCCTGTTTTGTGCTTAAGGGGTTCCATCCATCCATCCATCCATCCATCCATCCATCCATCCATCCATCCATCCATCCATCCATCCATCCATCCGTCACGCTTATCCCTGCTGGGATGGCGAGGGGTGCTGGTGCCTATCTCCAGCTGTCTATGGGCGAGAGGTGGGGTATGCCATGAACAGGTCGCCAGTCTATCGCTGTGCAAAACAGAGACAAACAACCATTCACGCAGACACTCACGGCTAAGGAGAATTTAGAAAAGCCAATTAACCTAACAGTTATGTTTTTGGACTGTGGGAAGAAGCCAAAGAGAACTTATGCACATACAGGGAGAACATGCTAACTCCATGCAGAAAGACCCTCGGCCAGAATCAAACCCAGAACCTTAACCCTTAAGGGGTTAATACTCTTAATTCAATTCAAAAATACTTTATTAATCCTAAAGCCTTCTTAATTAGCTTGTTATACTATTTTAAGTCATATGGTCTGATACTGTTACTCCAGCAGATGATGGAGGAGAGACCACATTCTCCAAAACAGACTGATAGAAGATATGTAAAATATTGTTGCAAACACCAAATGACCAAAGTTTCATAAGGGAGTACAGTCTGCTCTGTGTGCTCTTGTACACAGCTTCAAAGTTGTGTCTCTAGTTGACTTTGTTTTCCAGTGAAAACTAAGATATTTATACTCCTCAACAATCTGTCACATCGTAGTTAAGAGGACCCAAAATGCAGAGGCAGAGAGGCTGAGGTGAATTCTTGTAGTTTTACTGAAAAAACACTAATAACAGAGGCAAAATCCAAAAATCCAACTAAAATGTAATTCAGACCAGAACCACGGAGACATCAAGGGACATCAAGGGAAACATGCACAAGGAGCCAGGGAGAGACGAGGTAAGAGGACAACAACGACGACAGGACCAGCAACAACAAGGAACCAACAAAGAGTGACAGCAGAGGGAGAGAATATATAGCTGACAGAGACAAAGGCAGGGCTAACGAGCTGACAAGGAGCAGGTGTGAGAGGAGACAACGAGGGATCCAAGGGGAAAGGAACACACGCAAGAGGGCAACAGAGGACAACAGAAAAACATGAGAACTAACATAAATCTAGAAATTACAACAAAATAGGAATTAAACCAATAACACTAGGGAACATAGAGCAAAGTAAAGCACAATATAACCAAAACCATGACACAATCTCCACTTCTTCTCCCTTGATGTGAACAAGATTCAACTTCTTCCTGTTTCTTCTGAAATCTAAAGTCTACTCCTTTGTTTTGTGGACATTGAGGATCAGGTGGTTGTTTCCACACTAGGTCACAAACTGGTTCACTTGCTCCCTGTAATTAGCTTCTTGTGCATCTTTGACTCATTAATGACTGCAGAGTCATCTGAGTATTTCTGTAGATAACAGGACTCTGTCTGATACAGGAAGTAAGAGTACAGAGTAAAAAGGAATGGTGCGAGGGCTGTTCCCTGTGGTGCTCCTATACTGCTGACATAATTAGACAGTTGAGCCTTCAGTGTAACAAACTCTGGTCAGTGTGTCAGGTACTAATTGATCCAGGCGATTGTTGATGCCTCCAACTGAGTCTTCTGGAGTTTCTCACTAAGTAGGTCAGGCTGTATTGTGTTAACTAGAGAAACCAAAGAACATGATCCTCGCAATGCTGTGACAAATAAAGCAATAAATAAAATTATGATAAATAAATAAATAAAACACCTATTTATCAAAGCCGTCTACATGTCCTGAAAGGTTGTTTATTTTAAATATTTGAATTTGTGTATTTGCGCTTGTTAGTGTTTTATTTGATCATACATTTTAAATATCATCTGACACTTGTTCTCGGCAAAAGTTTGTTCATCTTGGTTGTTTTAAAGTGCTGTTTAAATAAGGTTGTAGTTTATGGAATGGGAAAAAGTCAAAACTACATGGTAACTTTCATTTTAAAGTAAAACAAAAAATGTTGATTTGTGTCATTGTAAAGAGTTAGATATTTTCGACTATTAACCCTTGTAAAGAAAAAGAGAGGAATAAAACGTACAGGCACAAAACCTAACTAAGCACTTTGTTAAGTGAAGTAAAGTGAAGTTGAGTGTTGGACTCAGGATATTTCCATAGAGCCACTTTGCATCAGCAGCTCCATGCTCCAGCGCTCTGGGAGAGTTTATAGTCCTGAGAGTTGAACACTGGATGATTGACAGCTGTCCTTCATGACAACAGAAGACACAGAAATCCTCCTCATCAAAAACATGACTTTGATCTGCGTCCTCATCTGGACTCTCCTCTGCTGCTGCTTCACAGGTAAAGTCCAGAGAATCAAACTCCTCTCCTCTATGAACATCTGTCCCTCTGAAATGAAGCCAACAAACCATGAAGCTGCTTTATGTTTTTGTCTCTGTGTCCTCAGAGTCCAGAGGTCAGGTCACAGTGAATCAGCCTTTAGCAGTGAGAGCTGATCTGGGAGGAACTGTTACCATCAGCTGTAGGACCAGTCAGAATGTGTATAGCTCTAGCTATTTAGCCTGGTACCAACAGAAAGATGGACAAACTCCCAAGCGCCTCATTCATGCTGCTAGCTCTAGAGACTCATCGACTCCAAGTCGTTTTACAGGCAGTGGATCAAACTCTGACTTCACTCTGACCATCAGTGGAGTTCAGGCTGAAGATGCTGCTGTTTACTACTGTCAGAGTTTTCATGTCATCAACAGTCAGTATGTGTTCACACAGTGAAAAACAGTCGTACAAAAACCTCCCTCAATCAAACTGAGCAGAAACTCCAGCTGAGTGTCACACATACTCTGACACAGATCACTACACACAGACAAACAGAAGTTACATAATCTTTAGATTTTTTCTTTTACGTCAACCTCACGTCTTTGGCAACATTCACACTCAGGCATTAGTGCACAATTCAGATTTTTTTTAAATTAGATTATTTTGCGTTATATTTCCAAATATACGGGACCTGTGTGTGATCTCCTGTATGAGCTGCATTCACACATCTTATGTGTCCTGTATGCACAGTAGAGGACATGATGACATAAAAGGTAAGCATGCTCTGTGTTTACAGAAGTAAAAATGTTATTGCTGGAGCACACATGCAGTCTTTCATTTCATTCCCAACCAAAGCCACTGCATTAACAACACAATCTTTTGAAGAAGATTGAAAATAAAAACTGCTCTCTGCATTATCTCCCGCCGTGGATGTTGTTTTTCTTGCCGTTTCAGTGTAGTAGGATGCAGAAAAGGGACCTTTGTTGAGAATTAATGCCACTAAAGTCAGATTAATTCAACCTGGACTGGTGCTGAACTGGTTTACATCTGATGGAGACAGTATGTTCTGGAACAATAGACTAAGATTCAGGAATCTGAGTCAGGATTGTATCTCCTGATGAACCTGGAAAACCTGAAAAATACACAGTAGCAATTAAGACAAATTATGATAGATTACAAATGGTTGATGATATATTATATATATATATATATANTTAACACATAAATAACAATTTACCAAAATCTGACGATTATTTTAGAAACAACATTTTGCATTACAAAATGTTTGCATTTTACATTACAAATTATTTCTACTGAAACAAGTTATTTCAATTCCGTTTCAATTTGTTTGTTTGTTGAGAGAAAGAAAAAAAATGTAAATATTTTATTCTGTCTGCTAAAAAATTGAAAAAAAAAAATTTCAAAGATAACACAGTATTTTAGAACTTGGCATTAAGTGTGAAGGTACTTCAAATATCCATTCTAATTCCTCTAGCAAAAGTCAAACATAGTAATAGAAACACAGTGAGCATTATACAAAAACCTCTACATGTAGAGACACGCTTTCTTTGAGTAAATTAAACCTACAAACACAGATTAAACTAACTACTACTGTATCAAGCCAAACACAATTTTGTGTTCAGATTAATGCTAACTAATTATCCCCAGGGTAATTTTGGATTTTGACTATAAAATAACTTTAGCTTCCAACAGCTGTCTTTGCAAAAAAAAAAAAAAAAGTTATATATTTTTTTCAGTTTGAATCTGTGAAGCAGCTTATAATCATTAGAACCAAATCTCTAAAATAGTCGTTTGATATTTTACTTACCTCCAATATCCAGTGTGGTTCCTCCACCAAACGTGTACCACAGTGATACAAACTCATTGAGCCGTCGTACAAAAACCTCTGACTGTAGAGAGACACGGCTCTCTGACTCAGTTTGACTAAACTAAAATCTAGGAGCTAAAATTGAACAATGAAAAAGAGAAAGCAACTTTTTCTACATAGAGATNTGGTTCCTCCACCAAACGTGTACCACAGTGATACAAACTCATTGAGCCGTCGTACAAAAACCTCTGACTGTAGAGAGACACGGCTCTCTGACTCAGTTTGACTAAACTAAAATCTAGGAGCTAAAATTGAACAATGAAAAGAGAAAGCAACTTTTTCTACATAGAGATGATCACAAATTTAATTATATTTGACCATTTTTTTTACATAATGAAATCTCAATATGTACTCTACTCTGTATTCCCCTGCAATGTTTATCTATACAATAAAAAATAAGTGTCATTTAACCTTTCATACATGGGGTAAAAAAAAAGAAAAGAAAAAGAACAAAAAGGTTCTTTGAAAAATTAAAGCATAAAATTTTACTTACTTCCAAATTCCAGACTGGTTCCTCCACCAAACGTGTACCACAGTGATACAAACTCATTGAGCCGTCGTACAAAAACCTCTGACTGTAGAGAGGAACGGCTCACTGACTTTAAACAATTCAATGAGAACAACAACAAAAAATTGAGATACAAAATGAATAGTTTTGGACTTCTTAACCAGATCAGTCTTCCTCAAACTGCTTACAGTATGATATATAATGATAATAATAATAATAATAATAATAATAATAATAATAATAATAATAATAATAATAATAATAATAATAATAATAATAATAATAATAATAAAATCTTTATCTGTGAAGCTGTATAATATATTGTATCAACCTGGTTGTCATTAGAGTCAAGTGCAGCTTTTGAACTCAGTACAGATTTTTCTTTCTCCCAGAATAGATAATTCCCACAAGAATGGAAACTGAAGTAATTGACTTAGAAATGCTCCATGCTGGAAGGATACTGATAGATGGTGTTAAATAGAAACAGCATTTTGAGTGTCATTACAAGTCTTTTATTCATTATTTCTTTACTATGGCTTTTTTTTTATTGCTAAAGCATTAAATCGTAAATCTGCACAAATTAGACAAATGCAAATAGCAGGATAAGTAAACAGGGTAGTTTTCTCTGAAAGTAACCTATATTTGCTTATATGACTTAGACTTATTGTTATTTTGATGTCACTTTGGTTTAGTGCAGCAAGGGTGTTAAAAATGTTTTTTAAGGACACAGCCAGCTGACCTGCACACTCCTTTGAACATGTTCCAGTCAGAGGATTCAAATTAGACTTCGAGTGCCTTCATGGCCCCCTCAGTTCACACCCTCACCTTCTTCACTGTACTGTAGATTTTGCTCTGATCAACAGGGGCCTGTATGCAATAG